TCACGGTTAGATTCATAGTTGATTGTGAATAAAACATGAACAACAAATGTCCGCTTGGATCGATCCTTTTCTTCATACAGTAATCATCACTGCGATCTTCTCGGGTCTGGTTATTCAGCCAAAGAATGATTCCGTAGTCCGGAAAAAATATCTGTAGCAATGATTAACTGTTAATCGTTCAAGAGAGCGCTAGGTGAGTGTCGATCAATAATATTCTCTGAATCCGGATGTTGATATATACCGTTCAGGCTGCATTCAGTCAACTTGTACTACAAATAACAGTCAGAAAAAACTGACTCCAAGTTTTGTTAGCCAAAGGCATCACCGAAACATGGAACATCAATTGTATAATTCCACAGTTAATCCTACAAAAGGCCGAATTTTGGAATCTAAACGTAGACCCCCATCCTATGACCATACTGCTGAGGATGCTCAATTAGTCATGGTCGTTACCAGTCTTCAGCAGCATGAGTCGAACTGAATGCATCATCATCAGGAGCAGGAGCAGAATCATCGTACAGCGAAATACAGTGCAGCCAACTTCACTGATCGCTGCCAAACTCATTGCATACAAGGTTAGTGGTAAAATTTAAGGTGAGGGAGAAGGGGAAGAAGGTGAACCTCTGGTCAACACAGTACGCAATCGAACTCTGCATATAAATTATTTCAAGCATTCTGGTTTGATAAAAAGTGACATCAGGATTGCCATTACTGTCGGTTCGCAGCCATGACCTTCACTGTCTCCAACCATGCGGTTTCGGAGTTTTTTGAACCCCATCCCGGAAGACGAGAGACACCTACTCTACCTAGTCGCTCTGTGCATTTCTTCATACCTCGTCTCCACATCAACTGTTGACCTCCACGTGGTTTCCTCCAACCCTGATTAGCCACAGCGAATAAAGCGCGGTGCGGCAGACGACAGTTGGGCATATGCAATACGTGTCCTAGCCAGTGAAGTCTACTAATCTGGAATTTTGCTAGCAGGTTTATCCCTGATAAGCTTCCAAACACACGACGGCTTACCTCCAGATTGCTAACCCGTTCGCATCTTCTTACGTGGGCTAAACTACGAACTGAATACCGAAAGAAACAGCTACTTATCCCGAGTTAAAGAGCTCGTTACAATGTAGTGTAGTAAGAGGGGATCGTAGCGCAAACATTGTGAAGGACACCGGTGTCAGCTGACCACATCTAGGTGAACTGGTGTGCTCTGACTGTCCTAAGGGCGCAAAACTAGCTGGTCCGGCTTCGGTAAGCACTACCATGTACTGAGCCTAACATTTTCCTTCCGTGTCTACAAGGCCTTTGGTCTTGCTTACAGTAATGCTCACGGGCATGGACACTGACTAAACGAATACAGTCTATTTGAAAAAGATGCAGTTTAGCTGTCAGAATGATTGAATGCCAAATGGTAAGGCATACCAAAATAGGTTAACAGGTCTGTAACTCCTTCCTCCGAAGCGAAGCCGACTATAGAGCGATCTACTAGAAACCTTTAATGCTATAAAAGGAATCTCAGTGGTCAAGAGGGAAACATGTTCCAAGAAGCTAATTGTCAAAAAACAAGAGAGAAAGAGTGCAGACTTACTCAACAACTGCAACTTAGTTGTCAGGTCAGGTTTTATCAGCAACTGGAACTGGGTGACAGGCTTAGGAATCACAGGCGCATTTAAGCATGCTGTGAACGAACAATGGATGCGGTCTTTTCCATAGTAGGAATATCAGGCCTTCATGTTAAATGTCCCTGATTCATCGAGGTGGAGGGTGAAATGTTTTTCTTTCCTTTTCAGCAAGAACGTCTTACTGGATACAGTTCACAGGTGCGTGTATACATCTTGGGTATACTGCTGAAAGGCCTGTACTCCCGATTGTTCGTTGTCATTAAAAGCCCTGTGCAATCGAACCTCAGCTAGCCTGTGGGGCAGATTTTTACAATGAGGTACATTTCCTTCCCTGATTGGTTCATACTGTTCATAGGGTAGCGGGAGTATACTCGCTGCTACTCATTCCGTATATTCCCTTGGGGGTAGTTGTCACTTTGCTCCGTCTGGCAATATTCGCTCACGCCTATTTAGCCTCCCTATTGCTGTGTTCATGTGGGGCTTTCAAAAGGTAAGACACAGTGAAGATTTGAAACATTTTATAGGTGTGTACTTCGCACTATGTGTGTTGTTCTGGGTTGGGTTGTCTCAGTGAACGAAGAGGACTTGCCCAGTGATGAAAAACTACCTATCGTCTCCAACCACATTTCTCTTTTTGATCATCTGATCATTTATCTTACATCGGATTGCGTCACAGTGAGTGAAAATTCTTTTTTCGCAATTGAAGCCATGTTTTGGCGAGCTTTATCCAACCAGCTCACTGAAATTGAATCAGTGTATCCGTAATATCTGCATTCATCCTTGGTGTGCAATACTACAATGGAACCCAACGACAAGCACCATCCTTAAATCTTTATTGCTATATATATCCATGGTTACATTGTGTTTTTGATAAATACTCCCAATAATTGGAATCAGTATGCTACCCATAAGTTTAGGAAAATTCCTTCAAGTGGAAATCCCATAATACGCTCGAGATGGATAACGACATATATATCATCGAGCTTGGTTCATCGTTTTGGTTTTGTTTGGCTGTAGACCTGGCTCCGCTGGGTTTTAGGAACGTATGCACTGAGGTGTACCACAGTATTTTAGCAAAATTTTCTTTGCCATGGTGAGGAGTGATTCGTATCGAGTACACTAAATAGCAAGATTTTCTGTGTGTAACTTGGCCGTACAGACGATTCGAAAAGTGTCTGCAAGCTCGAATGATGTAATTCTTATTAGGTCACCTGAATTTGTTAGAGACAGGTTATCTAAAGAATGATTTGTTAAAAATCTAAGTGTTTTCGTTGTATTGAATGGCATTTATTAAATCTCAAAGACACTGGAAGTATGCTTGCAAGCGAAATTCCCGTGGGACGGAGTTACCTTTATTTAGTAGTGTTTTTCTCTGTAAGCCCTTCTGCAACCTTGGATATGTGAAACCTCGGACATAGGTTTGTTTTTGTCATAGAAGTTCCTCTGCAGCATTACTTGCATAACCAACTTCGGTAAGAAAAATGCGGCAAAGCTACTGTGGAAAAATTACACGATAAGTTTATAGTGAATTTTGATACGAATAACATTTAATGAAAAATGCTACCGTTAGTTTTCATGTTTCTGATAAGGTTTTACATAANTTACATAATGGACACTCGTATTTAGTACTCATGCTTCCTAATGTTTCGGTTTTCAGCCCAATCAACAAGTATTTCATTGGTATGCCAGCTATCAGAGTTCAAGTAGCCGTTCAATCGTTAAACTACTAGAAAGACAGAGTAAAGGTAAGCAGCGCTATTTTTTTGAGTTAGCAAAGCTGGTTNTTGGCCTGTTCATATTTTTCCGGAAAAACTCACATGCAACAATCCGAATTGTTTGTCCTGTTTCGATTACGAATTGTTTGAATCAGTGGAGAAAGTTCAGCCGGTTTGTTCGTCACGATGGATTTCTAAAGCTTCATTTTTAGGTAGCTCTCAAAGCGAGTCGCGTGTTCCCGATACAGCTAGTAAGCTTCTAATAAATTGTGTCGAAAGCCTTTTGTTCGTTAACCTTGGGTTTCTCACTAGCGGAAATTAGGATTAGTGTTCTAGTTATTGAAACTTTTGGCTATTTCTCAGGTGCAAAATCGTTTTTCGTCAGGTTTGAATACTTTTACAGATTCTTGACAGTTTTAGTAACCTTGGTGTTGTAGTAGGTTCTATCTGCTATATTTATTGACTTCTTTCAGGCCCAATTTGCGAGCCATCAAACTTCCCTTTAAGTGTAGGAATTTGGGAGCATCACATTGCTTTTGGTCTTCAGTGTGCGTGTGCCTTTCATGACCAGTCTGTTTCGTTTCCTAAATGGTTTGCGCCTCAAAATGCTTGCATCTTAAGTTTGGTTCCAATGAATCTAGAATTCATCTAGCTCATCGTTTACATATTTTTTCATATTCAGTTCCCAGTAGTTGTTACTGCGCTTTCACAACTGAACTAGCTAGACCTAATAAACCTCACTTTCAGCAGTATACAACTCAGTTCAGTTCAGTTTGTACAACCATTAACCATGCACTATCATGCGCCGGTTTTGGTTACTATCTTTCGGCTACCCATTTGGATGAACATTCGGAGAAAGACAGGAAAGGTTAAAGTAGGATCGAAGAGAAAATTGAAAGTTCACTGGACTGATGATACTGGGAAGTTGAGAAGATGCACGAACGCCACTGTTTACGACACCCAGCCATATCACTGTGTCTCTAACCATCGGGTACGACCATCCCGAGGTCCTCATCCAGGGACCCTAACGAGACCTGTGTGACCTAGACTCCTGGTTAGGGTTTTCATGCCCCTATGCCAGGTCTTAGCTTGACCTCCCTTGGCTTTCTTCCATCCACTACCTGCCTCGGCAAACATCGCTCGTCGTGGCAACCTATTTGGAGACATGCGTAACACATGCCCCAACCAGCGTATACTATGGAGGTCGACCAATTGCCCCAGTGGGCGACTCCGATTGCCCAAAACTTTTCGCCTGACCTCAGCAATGCTCGTCCGGCTGCCCCACCAGATTCGTGCTATGCTGCGTAGACAGCGGTGTTCAAGCACTAACAGTCTATCTTTGTTCTGTTTTTTTAATGCCAAGTTTCTGCTCCATATAGCAGAACTGGCCGAACTACTGCAGCATATACTCTACGAAAGGAGTGTCTGTGTTCTAGAATTTGACGGAGTGTGAAGATGTGGTCAATACAACATCGACCGGGTCTGAAACCAGCCTGGTTCTCACGCGTGCACCGTTCACGTGCGGCAGACAATCGACGGAGTATGATACCGGCGAGAAGTTTAGAGGCAATATTGATTAAACTAATTCCTCTGTGGTTTTCACAGGAGGATCTGTCACCTTTCTTGTAAGTCGGTATGATCACCGATTCACACCATTCAGCTGGAACCTCTTCCCCCTCCCACAAGGAGCCCAGGAGTTTTGTTAACTGCAAAATCAAGGCTGAGTCTCCATCCTTAAAAACGGATGGGGACAGCCCGTTGTGGCCTGAGGCCTTATGCCGTTTGAGGTAACTTATTTCCCGGGAAACCTGCATTTCTGATAAGGGACTGGCATCGACTGACAGACTTTGCGCAGTCGCTGTGGAGAGTGACAGTTCAGATGTCGATGGGGGCCAGTTGAGCCTTAAAATGTTCAGCCCATCGATCAAGACAGCGTTGCTGATCACGAATCAGTGTGCCATTTGATTCCTTGATTACCTCACGCCTATTTTCCTAGGACCCGTATTCCTAATTAGGCGGAAAAGATTGCGACTATTACCTATAACCGCAGCCTTCTCCATCTCTTTACACTTTCCTACCCACCACTTCTCGCGGTCATTCCTCAGACTCTTGATGAGCTGGCGTTTAAGGAATTTGCGCGCTGTGTCATATGCTGCATCCGGAGGAAGGATTCTGCGGGCTTCCAGCAGGACAGCCGAGGTCGATGAGATCCATCGTTTAGGTTTTGAGGAGTGTGCGGATATTAAACGCGGCTAAGTGAAAAGGGAATTTCGGCTTCAAAAATCCTGTAACTTCTTGTTTGGACTTGTTGGTAAAACAATGAGTGATATTCGATGGGTCTTGTGAACAGCAGGTGTTGCGTATTATTCGGGATTGAGAGGAAGAACTAGACAGATGAGAAAGATAGTTTACCAAATGGGTACCTAAGACTTTAGGGCACGACATACTTCGCGGTAGTCCACACCGACGAGGGGGTTTTTCTTTGGGAACACTAACCGGAGCCCTTGACTCAAAAGTCTGACCCACAAGGCAGNAGGGGTTTTTCTTTGGGAACACTAACCGGAGCCTTTGACTCAAAAGTCTGGCCCACAAGGCAGTGGGGCGTAAATCCCACGTGTGAGCGTGAGCGAAGCCCCCGTGTGGGAGCTTCTGGAGACCTGTCACGCAAGGCCTTTAAATTTTGATTAGTTGTTTTGTTTGCTGGTGCGTTGATTATCCAAGCAAACGATGTCGTCAGCCTACTCTAAATCGCACAGCTTGTCACCAGCTGACCATTCAATACCTACATTTTGGAGACCACTAAGTGCGTTCTTCAGTTTTTCGTCTATGACGAAATTGAACAGGAATGGCGAAAGAGGGCACCCCTGATGAACACCACTGCTAGTTACGAATGACCTACTCAGCTCACGGTATACCCTTACGCTACCAGAGGTATGTGAGTACAATGAACTCGGTATGTCCACATACTTTGCGGCATTCCTTTGCGAAGGAGTGAACCCATAAGGGATTCACGATAAACTGAGTCGAACGCTCCCTTTAGGTCAAGGAACACGACAACCGTTGGTCGACGGTGCGTATGGCGTAGCTGGAGGACTTGAAGCAGGGTGAAGATTTGATCGATATAACCGCAACCTGGTCGAAATCCTGCTTGTTGTTCGCGAATGTTTGTCTCCCTAAACGGCGTCAGACGTCGAAGAATAATGGAGGCTAGTAACTTGGTGACGATTAGGATCAAACTTATTCGACGGTGGTTTGCGCAGTCGTTGCGAGATCCCTTCTTAAAAATTCGAACGATCAGTGATTCGCTCCAGGATGATGGAATGCTCTCGTGTGACCAAATGTCACGCATTATATCAGTAATGGCATCTACCAGGTCATCGCCCCCCATCTTGAAAAAGGTGGAAGGAAGCCCACCCGTTCCTGCTGCTTTTCCTTTCTTCAGGGCTTGTATACAAGAACGAACTTCTGCTGCACTAGGGTCTTGCGTGCGTGTTTCGGAAACAGCATACATCTAAATTAAAAGTTTCGGGGGTTCTAGCCAAGGCAGCTTGTTGACCGATCTGGTAGTTTACGGATTTTGAACGCGGCTAAGTGAAAAGTGGATTTTGGCTCCGGCCATCGTAAAACTTTTGATTGGTTAACCTTACTGTTAAAACGCTGGGTAATATCCGATGGGTGGCGTAAACAGGAGGCCTCTGGAATGATTCAAGAGTCAGAGGAAAAACTAAGCAGATTAGAAAAGGGTTTTCCAAATGGGTACTCAAAATACTTCGCGGTAGACCACACCGACGAAGGGGTCTTTTTTGGAACCCTAACCGGAGCCTTCGACTCGAAAGTCTAACTCAAAAGACAGCGGGGAGTAAATCCAACGCGGAAGCGTAATCAAAGCACCCATGCGGGAGATTCCTGAGACCTGTCACGCAAGGTCTTCGGGTTTCCATTCAGTGTATTCGCTGGTGTGTTAATTGACGGTCCGCTATTCAAGATCAGCCCTTAGCCTCATGCATCCAAATGAGACAGACGGAACAGCATCCTATTGGCTGTTGGCCACCCAGCTTAGACAGGTGGTAGCCGTCAAGTTGAGTGCGAAGACTTCTCCCACCGTCGGGAGGAAGTACTAGGTACTCCGCTCCTACGTCCACCGAGCGAGCTTTTTGACCGATAAAATGCTCCTCCCGTATAAATAATAGTGTATATAATCAAAGGAAGCCAAGATCCCAAGCAACTGTGTGGGACATTATTTTGTCTGGTCTACCCATTGACTTTTCAAGTATGATTGAATCTGCGACTGTGAAAAGCCATCCTGTGCCATCAATGCTCAAGCCACCACAACACGTCAAGGCACTGTCTCGTGATGGCTGTATTCTTCTGCTTCGGTATTTTCACTACGAGACAGCAACGGAAACCCCCGATATTCAAGTACATAGAATAGTCGTTACAAAGTTGATTAGCTTGAATTTGGTGAATTTCACTTTGAGTACATGACCTGAATGATATACTCCGTTGATAATCTTATCCTGTGCAATAGGCTTGGTACACTGATAGTACTCCGCTGTCATTCCGTTTGTAGTAAACAGTTTTGCGGAGGTCTGGATCCTTGAGGTGCCTACTTAATGGAGGCGATCCACCATTCCGATCGCCATGACTTAAACCGTCAGTTCTGATAACCAATAAGTCCTCGTGGCCATAATACATTACCTGTTCCCCGGTTAACCACTAAATTGTGCAAGAAGAATTTTTTTCTGGTCAAATCAAACCCCTCTTTTCAGCCGCTAGTTTGTCCCTCAAGAAATATAGTATAGTGGCTGTCAGTTCTACTTTGTCTGTTGTAGTATCAGTTTTGTCGTATGTAGTTCACTATCGTAAATTTCACAACTTCCCTCGTTCAAATCCCCCGATCAATCTCCGTTATTCCGGTACTCTTTCCTTCTTTTATATCACTTACGGCATTTATCACATGAATAGCGAATAAAATGATGCTACTACTTTTCTTCTATGGTCAAAGTCGTTTATTGGTTTCTTTCGCGCTGTACTTCAGCCTTTATTTATCTTTTTCTCAAAACTCTACTCAGCTGGAAATCCCGATCAATTGGGTTTCGGAACTTGTATGGCAATTGTTCACTCCGTTCACCCACTATACGGTGACCTACTTGGAGCCCATGAGCCGGTTGGCTGATGAGAATGGTGCTGAATTTGCAGAACGTGTTCGGAATGCAATAGCTCATCAACTGGGTATACCGACCAGTCCAATGACAGAGACAAGTGAGCAACCCGAGGTGAGAGTCTATTGATTGCGTTGTGCATCGGATGTTATTGAAAGACGTCTGTTTTTCTCGGGGTTAGCTGCTCAAAATCAACTATCCGTACTGATCAAACGATCGCGAAAAATCTTCATTTGTAGCCCTGATTGTCAATGTGTTATTTTGAAAATCCCACAGTACGGCTCCATACAACGACAGTTTAATTCGCTCTGACGAGACACCCCACGTTCGAACACCACAAAAGTAAATGGAAAATGTTCCCCTCAGATTTTCCTGACCACAGCGATTCCTGCTCTCGCACGTGGAAAGTTGTTTGTTAGCATGCCAATAATTTGTTTCTTACAGAATCGGCATACCTTTTAACTTCAACTATTATACCACTGTGAAGGTTGTAGTTAGCACTCTTGTAGTATAGAAGTTCTTTTGTTTTGTCCTTCAATGGAAATGAGAAAAAGCAAAATAACTCTTGTATGAATCACAAGTTACTTTTCTAAGTATCTCAGGCGTTACAGTGCGTTACAGTACTGGAAGTTAATTAAGGAAGCTATACACGTGTTAATCAAGACAACGGCGGATTCTGGTCCACGATCAAAGCACAAACAATGAACGTGAAGGAAGACGTTTGGATTAGCCATGACGATGAAAAAAACAAAGACAAGTTTATTTTTTGGTGACTACGTTTCGACCCTCTTTGCAAGCCCTTATCAAGTCAATTAACAAGGGAACATGTGAGTCAACTGTGAGACAACCATATAGAAAAACCGGGGCTTTGTGATTGGTCTTTGGGTAAGAAAAGCACTGTGTGTGATTAGGAATGTAACAAGAGGTCACAAAAATGAGCAAGTGACGTAATAGATTATAGGAGATTAGAGTGTGTGAAAACCTATGGTGCGGAAAGAACCGGTGTGTGTGTGTGTGTCTGTAAGTGAAAGGTTAAACGGAGTCAAGCCAGTGGACTGATAATTGAGCTCCGTCCGATCGATTAACGCAATTCGGATCGCCGTTGATGAACAATGACTCCGTGATCAGTCGTTCTCTATATGACCGAAAACCTTGTTTCAAAATAATTGGTTTTTTGAAGTCAATCAAGTGTCCTTCGGCGATAGAATGTAGCGCGATTGCTGAGTCTCTTTCGATTGTCCTAAGTTCTGCGGTATTTTTTGGTGCTTTCCTAGTTTTTCTATCATGTTCAGCTAAACGTTGCTTCAATTGTCGGCTCGTTTGTCCAACGTATGTGGCCGGACATTGTTTACATCTTATTTGTAGATGAGATTGGATTGCTCCTCTTTAGGTCGCTTGTCTTTGAGTCGCATCAGCTTTGAGCGANAGCGAAGTGTGTTGGTTGCTCGAAATGCCACTCGTATGTTATATCTGTTTAGAATACGTTGAATATCTTCCGATGTATTGTGGCGATATGGGATAACACTTGTCGCAATCCAATATGCCTTTTTGCTTTTGACTCCGTGGGCTTTCTTAGCTTTTTACGGATTTTTCGTAAAAAGTTGGAAGGATATCCGTTATCTAGTAACTCCCTTATAACCAGTTGGACCAGTTGGAATGATCACCGACTCACACCATTCAGCTGGAACCTCCTCTCTTTCCCATATTGAGCCCAGG